AAAATGTAATAAGAAAGTAAAAAAAGAATAAAAGCGGATCTTTGCAATGAAATGCCCAATTCGGGCCCAGAATTCCCTATCTCGGGTGGACAGTGAAAGAGTCATACTGTATCATCCGTTCCCGATCGTCGTCCCTGCGCCCTGAACCTCTAAGTACCGCCCGCCCGTCGCCGTACTGTACGACTCAGAACACTACCGCCAACAGGGCTGACAGACTCTCTTCCTCTCTCCCTCTTTTCCTACGACTCTTCCTTTTCCTCTACCCAGTCATCCTTTCTGAAGAAGGGACGGACAACCTCTTTTTCTGCTTCTTCTTTTTTTCTTTGGGGAAAGAGTCATCTCCCATATGATTTATTTTTGTGACTATTAATCGATTTATCTTGTTTTCCTTTTTGTCATTTGCCTCTCCACTCATCAGTTGATTTCTATTTTTCTCGAGCTTGTCGTTCTGGCAGAAAAACGTGGTCCCTGCGGTCCGCTCTGTTCCTCAGTTTCCGCCACTCTTGCCACAGGCCACGGTGAGTAACCCCCATTCCCTCATAAGAGAATCTTCTTGTTAGTCACGTTCCTTCCATATCATTCCCTTTCCCTGGTGCCACTGGCCGAATTTCCTCCCTGATCTTGAAATTTCGCCATCCCCTTTGTCTGTTCTTCCCTTCCACTTCCTGCTTTCTGACTGGGTCGCCCCCCAGTTAGTCATTTCCCTAGTCTGCCGCTCCGCCCTCCGAAGAATAGGCAGCGCACCTGCGGTTCCCTGACTACGGAAGAGTCATAAGCATATGAAAAACTGGGGATTTCCATAGTTGCTGACTGTATTTGTTCGCCATCAGACTACAAGTCGATCGCCTCTTAAGAGCCTCTTGACAGACAGCTGACTGCCTGGACAAGCATCAGTCTACACAAGTGGATCTGCCTGCTTGCTAACAGTCCGCCGTCGTAGCGGCTCTTTTCTATAACTACATACTCCCCACAGTATCAAGATGTACCTTGTTGTTTCGAAATACTTTGTTCCGGTCACCTGTGTTGCAGAATCCTCCGCCTTTGATCTCCGAAAGTCCGACAAGTCTGTTACTCTCATCTAGATCGATTGACTCATACAGCACCTGTCGTCTTGGAAGTCGCGTGGACCCGATACGCTTTCTACGTGTCTTTTGTCGTACGTTACTTCGGTTGATCTGCCCTGGAATCTACAACCGGTGATCGGTACAATACTTTTTGTTTGCGCCTCCCTTCGATTTTTTACACCTCATACGTCCTACCCTAAAACCCGATATACGTCCTCATCCTCTACCCGACCTCCCTTGACATTCAATTTATAGTTGAATGACCTTATAACCCCCCGATCTTTCCACCCTTTTATTTTTGATACCCATACACCCTGGCGAATTCTTTTTCGAAGGCCTGCCGTCGCCTGTGAATAAAAGACGGTTCTTGTCTTACAGCGTCTCGTTAACGGTTATTGCACAACGGTATATTTGATTTTCTCACGGTTTTTGAACGAGCGCACCTTGCCGTATCTTTGGTCTTGCGTCGGATAACTCCACACAAGTTTGCCGTCCACCTGATTGGTCTTTTGAGTTACTTGCTGCTTGAAGTAAATCAGGTCATACATCTGGATAGCTCCCCGGAATATGACAGGGATTGACGTTTTGGGTTTGAAAGAACCAAACCCTAGTGTTTCATACAAAGCGTCGTATGCGCACCCTTACGCATCGTCGATTTCCTCCTCCGCATCTTCCTCTTCGTCGTCGGTGTTCTCTCTCGATAGAGTGTCCTCCCACGGATCCATCTCTTCCGCCTCGACGAACCCGGTTGATGTCATCTGGGAAAATGACGGTGAGTACCAAACAGCAGGAAGGGGACTGGGCCCTTCGCGTGCACCCTTGAGGGGCAACGCTGTGAAGGCTGTGGATGTGGCCGTTCCTCCGGAATTGCGTCGGCATCCGCGGCGTACCAACAGCGGTATCCAGTCCAACGGCGTGTCCTGCGCGCGGCCTCCGCCCTGTCTGCTGCGTCAGTCGGAGCGTAAAGTGAACTTTGTCGACAACCTCGTCGGTAAGTGCAGTCGGATATTGTTGGGTACGATCCCATAGCTAAAGATTTGTATCTATCAAGACACCGCGTCGCAGATCGTCGAGACCATCTGGCCCTTGTCCGCCGTAGCGCTCCGAAGTGATTCGACTACAGGTTGCAAAGGTGTTTTGCCTCTGCGCACCTTTATCCAGGAGACGCTCCGCCGGTCTCGGACCAGTTACAGCACGTTGCAAGTGGCTTTGTATTATTTGATCAAGATCAAGCCACACGTGCCCAGTCACGATTTGGCCCATGACCAGACTCGGAGTAAGTCCGTCTGTCGGGCTATGCAGTGTGGTCGACGCATGTTTCTTGCCGCCCTGATCCTTGCCTCCAAATACCTCCAGGACCGAAACTACTCCGCCCGCGCTTGGAGCAAAATCTCTGGGTTGAATACATTGGAAATCAACCAGAACGAGTTGATGTTTCTCCAAGCAGTGGATTGGAAACTACACATCCCCGAAGCCACTTTCCAGCGGTGGACTGATATTGTGTTGAAGTATACTCCTGGTGCTGGTTGCATTCCTGGCGAAGGCCAGACTTGGCGGACAGTCATCCCAAGACTTACTCCTGAGTTGGAAGAAATCGACATGGAGCCGATGACTCCCACGAGCATGGAGGATTCCGATTCCGGATCGATGGCAGGCTCTCCGTCTCCTCGGGGTACCTCCATGGGAGGCTCTTTCCTCCCTACTTTCGCGAGTGAACCCTCCACCGTCCCATCGGAGACGCCTGTTCTTAAGCGGACTCCTACAACTCTGGAGCAAGCCTCTCGGGCTGACAGCTTCAATGTATCCCTTCCGTCGTTGCCACGGCTTCCTACGCTGCCTACCCCGCAGCTGACGCCCCAGTCGAGCATGGCCTCCACTCCTGCTGCGAGTGCTGGCTCCTTCTCATCTCACCGGCGCTATTTCTGCGCTGCCATGTCCCAGGCGCAAAACATGTGCATGGCGCGGTCGACCCTCGACCAGCGCCCGTCGCTTCCGTTTTGCCCGAAGACTGGCTCGTTTGATGGCTACCCGACCATGATACGCCGGTCTTCTTTGGCTCGCTCGACCTCCTCTGCGTCTTCGCCAGATTCGATGGTTTCGGATGTCTCGACTCTGTCTGCCAACTCGTCTCGGTCCTCTTCGATGTCTTCGACTACATCGGGCCCTGTCCTGCCTCGTCTGGCCATTCAGGCTACCCTTAGATGTACTAACAACTCGATGAAGGAGACCCGGAAGGCCGTGACCATTGCGTCACCCATCGACGAGAGTTCCTACAATGACATTTATCAGTCTCCCGAAAGCTTTACTGGATCTACTGGACACGTTTCGGACCTGTCTAAATTCTCCTTGGGAACTCCTGTTGATATGACATCCGCTCATGAGGCTGCCCAGAGCCTCTGTGCATTGTCTGGTTCCGCTCCTCGTGCTACCCAGACGAGCCAACAGAGTGGAAACCAGCGCCAGTGTCGGAAACGCGGTCGCGCCGGATCAGATGATTTCGCGTTGCAGAACCACGTCCGTCACTTGGTGCACGCTAATACCATCAGTGAAGGCACTGTGTTGCCTGATGGAAACATGGCTGATCTGTTCCTGAACGCTGGGCCTAAGCGTACTCAATCTCTCACGGCTGCCCAACTGCATGCTCTTAATTACAACGTTCCACTTTCTGGACCGGCGGGCGTGAAGCGTGCGTGTTGTGGCAGTGAAGCGAGAAAGATTGCACTGAATCCAAGCGTGCGCGCGGACTACCTGGGTTAGATTCGTTCGCTGGACGGAACATTTATGCAGTGGACAGGTTCGCTTGCTGTTCTATTCTTTTCTTTTCTTTTTTCTGTAGAAAGGAAAAGTTATTGTTTATTGCATAATATCCTTATCGACCTTTGAACTCGTCGACCGAGTGATCTTGATTTAGCCTCAACGCCTACAGAGGGCGGAAACGCAGACATCCGGTGGGAAAAAGTTTTGTGTGAACTTTATCTCATATCTTCTTTTGTCGAGAATCATTTCTCGTCTTGTATATACCCTGGTGTTGGTTGGATTTGGTTGGAATTCTGCGACGGAGTCTGCGCCCACCTCTGTCTGGTGCAGTGGTCCTGTAACCCGCAGTCCACTAGTGTATGATCTACGACGGGGAGGTTTTATCACTATCTTTTATCATTTACTTTGTTCCATATCGTGGATATTTATTACTATTACTACTATCATGAACTGGAGTGTGCGGCAATGGCAGGGTTTCTTCTTTTTGTGCTTTGTTCTCTTTGGTTGTTTGTCATCTCGGTCGACGGTGTAGCGGCGGATTTAGTGTTCTACAATGCATATTATATTCTTTGAAGGAGTTCTCTGGTCCTAGTAAGCGTTCCTTTCCATTGTATGTTGTATGTGTGTGACTACAGGTCGGTCGTGATGCCTCTTTTGCCTTAGGCCATCATCGCCCTTATCTTATGCAAGGAGACGGCCGAACCATGGAACCAGCTGGCAGTCCTCCACGCGAGGCGACGACTCGTATCTGACATAGTCTCGTGATAGAGGCCATGAGTCACGGAAACGGCTATTCCAGTTCTCTATGTTTCGGTGAGCATCGGACGATCGCGTGGCGCTGCAAACGACCGGTGAGTCATTGTCATACATGGCAGCCTGAGGCAGGCCGCAATGCCGGAGTGTGCCGGAACCTCCGGATGGAGTCGGAAGTTGCCCTAGTCAGGTGAATAGCACGCTTAACTATATACACCCTAGCGTGATCAGATAAGATCAAGATCCAGCGTTGCTGCAGTTCCCCTCACTGTTACCCTGATCATCAGACCATCCGGATTCCAATGTGAGGGGAGGATTCTTGGCGTAGCTTCCTGCTGAACAGATCCCTTTCTTCAAAGCTCCGTTTCTGCTTTAAATCCCTACTATACACACCTCGCCTTTTTATACTCAAGGCGAACGCTCATCATGAAGGGTCTTGACCGAGGTCTCGCTCTCGTCTCCACACTAGCTCTGCTCTTCCTCCAAGCTGTAGCGGTCCCCCTTTCAGCTGCCGAAAATGCCTCCCCCGACCAGGCAGTCCTAGGCGATACTTACAGCTTTCCCTCAACCTCTGAGAACAACGTTGACGTTTTTGACAAAGATCCAGAGGCAGCAGCCGCACCATCATGGTTCACCTCCACCCTGATGGCCCGCCGACTCCTCGCTCTCTCCACCACCGGTGTCGCCTCCACCATTTTCTCACACAACCCGAGGACGTTCACGTCCCAGCCGCTGTGGCTGGCCTATCCATCAGCCAGAAAGAATACGTCTCAGACTGCGACGAGGCCCTCCCCCCTACAAGCGGTAACGGCGGCAACGGCGACCCGACCTTCCTCGCCCTCGAAGTCGAAACCACCTTCCGCAACACTGCTGCAGGCTCTAACATCAGCATCACCCTCGATTGGTGGGACCACTTGAATGAGACTGAGCCGCTCTGGCCCGGCTTCCCGCTCAGCCCTGCCGGTCTCCCCCGCGTTACTCTCTTCGGGTACGTCGAGCCCTTCCCGAACCCTGCCCCGGAGGACACGGAGGCGGCTCTTCGGTCTTGCTATCTTAAAGCTCACCCCGATGCCCGGGTGTGGCTGCCGGAGCGGCCGGGCTCGCCGCACAGAAGCCACTGGGTCCGCATGGTTGTCACTCACGTTTACTGGATCGGTGGCTTCGGCGGGTTCCAGCGGATTGGGTGGATGAATGTGACCGAGTGGAAGGGTATTCGGAGGGAGGAGAGTTTGCCGGGTATTGGGGATGGGCGGGGCTGGGAGGATGTGAGGCTTCCTGGCGAGAAAGGGTATTGATGGCGTCGATGGATGACTTGAGAGCTACTGGTGGCTTGTGCTATTATCAGTGATAGACTGACCAGGATTCATTTGGGTGAGAATGGCTATAGTATGGATGGCATGAGGTTATGTTGCATGAATGGACGGGTAAATGGTTTATACGTTTCTTATTAGGTACAGCTGTAGTCTGAATTCTGAATATAACTGTTATATCATGATTTGTTTCTCACGGACACGAGATTCAGACATGCTCTTTTTAGATTAACAAGAAGGATAACCACTAATGTTAGACGCTGCATGAAACCGCAGAGTCTTTTATCTTGAGAAATATTCTGATTAGTTTATTGTACAGCAGAAAGTGGTCTGGGTGAGTGTATTAAGACCCCACATTTCGCGGGTATTCGTTCATCCAGCGTAGGAGAAGAATTCACGATTCAACGCCAGTCTTCACGGGTAGTCTTGAATTTGGGAATATGTAGAATATAATTCTGAACATCTACACACTAAAAACATCAGCTATCATGGAGAAATGGGTTGATATCAAAGCTAAATTGAGGGTTACCGTGGACGCTGCCGAGATGTCGCGGCGATGACGTCGGTAATCCAGGTGGGGTTAACGCGATACCTCGGATACTTTAGTCAAAAAACACCGGTCTTCCTGCTCTCATCCCTCGAAATAACTCTCTTACCACACTCAGCAACTTCCTTTGGCTATTACACGTTTGGCAGTCACCCATTGTCCTATCTTGGTTCTTTGTGCGTTATTTCCTTACTAAATATGTTCTACAAACAGCTTCTAACATCTCCTCTGCGAAGGTCCCTCTCATCGGTGAAAACCCCGCCATCTTCATTTCGACCATTCCATTGCTCCTCTGCCGCCATGTCTGGTGTTAGCAAAGCTTGCTGCTCGTGGGTCTTCTTTTTCTCTGATATAGGCAGTATCGAACTATCCTGATGATCTGCAGTATCCCTCCCATTGTCTCCAAGGACTATAAGGCCAAGGGTGAATACAAGACCATCAATGGCTTGAAGACATGTATGTTTCACTCTGAGTAGCTTAGTATATTGTCTCTTACTGACAGCTCCCAGACGTCACCGGCCCGGAGAATGCTTCCAAGGCTATCCTAGTCATCTACGGTGCGTGAAATCTACTCGCCGTCCACACCCAGCTCGCAGGTAGCTAAGAAAAGGCAACAGACATCTTTGGTTTCTTCGACCAGACCATCCAGGGTGCTGACATCCTCGCCACTGCCAATGAGCAGAAGTACCGGGTCTTCATGCCCGACTTTTTCGAAGGCCAGCCCGCCGACATCACCTGGTTCCCTCCCCAGACCGAGGACCACAAGCAGAAGCTCGGCAACTTCTTCCAGACCAAGGCCGCGCCCCCCAGCACCATTTCTAAGATCCCAGGTGTTGTGTCGGAAGCTAACAAGTTTGCCCAAAATGGCAGCTTCGAGTCCTGGTCCATCCTGGGCTACTGCTGGGGTGGAAAGATCACCGCCCTGGTCTCGGGCAAGGACAACCAGATCTTCAAGGCCGCCGTGCAGTGCCACCCCGCTATGCTCGCCCCAGATGATGCGAAGTCGGTCACCATCCCCATGGCCGTGCTCGCGTCCAAGGATGAGAACCCCCAGGATGTCCAGGATTTTGGCTCCAACCTGAAGGTTGCGAACTACGTTGAGACTTTCTCCACTCAGATCCACGGCTGGATGGCAGCCCGTTCAAACCTCGAGGATGCCGAAGTCCGCAAGGAGTACGAGAGGGGATACAAGACTGCTTTGGAGTTCCTCCATAAGCACGCTTAAGGGATGGAATTAGACTAAATAGCCGTGGGGGAGGTTGGAAAAATCTAATGACTGATGCCTTGATGTTACTTTAGTCTAATGTCTCCAAAAGAAAAGAAAAACGCACATATTTTCGATTTACCTTCTTGCATAAACACTGGCGGGCCTGGGTATTCTAGATTGATTTGGTTGACATCAGGGTCCATCAACCTCAAAGTACCAGACCATGCCACAGTGCTGTTTATTATACGGTACATTGTGTATTTACGTATATTAATGCAAGCCGGCCCGGTTAGCGCATAAATCGGGAGTCGGATGTCTATTGCCCCATTCCTTGTCAGGCCATGAAGATAAAACGGTCCCTGAGGTTCTTACTGGATCAGGTAACATCAGTCGGCCCGTGGTTAGCCCGACGTCATTGATTTATCACCTCCCGTCATTTCAACTCAACTTCTTCCTTTGGTCTAGATCTTGAATTGTCCCTTCAACGATCCAGTGGCGACTTATATATAAAGCGTCGACTCAGGAGATGACTCTTCACCATGTAAACGAGGATATCGCTTGACAGTCAATTCCCACGACTGAGGATCCACTTATCTTTGGGCACCAACGCATAGCCGACTTACCTCGGCATGCCGAACAGCTAGGGAATCCTTTCTCAGCCATAAACTAAGCATAGGAGTACGAAACAAATTACCCTAACATACATCGACACGAAGGAGACGATGGCTTTTTTTCGGCCGTCGGCATTCCGTCTCTGGGGCGCCACCAGAAGACAATGGCGTGCCTAGCAACCCGAATTTGAGATTGAGAAGAAGGGCATCTGTTCCAAACGCGCCGAGTCAGAGTCGTGGCGCTCACGACAGAAACGTGTTTCAAGATCTGTTCCGGAGGCATCGAGATGATTCGGAAATGGAGGTGTCGACAGCGGAGAGGGACCATGATGCTGTAAGCTTTTCCTTCTTTGATTTATTATACTCCGTCAGATGAGAGAATTTGGAATGGATCTGATCGTAGAAACAGACTCGTGCAAACCACTCTAACCAATCCACGGCAACAGCTGCAAAATGCCACACGGGTTCCCAGAGCTCACCGCCGGCGCATGGATTATCTGCAGAAAAGCACAACCATGAGGGTAAACATGATGCCACGTCGTCCCCAGGATACGCTCTCAGCAAAGAAGACATTGAGACTCTTTTCTCGGGAGCCCCATTCTTCCTTCTCGAAAGGGGCAAGTATGACCATCACTACCCACAGGTAATCTTTCCCTTCGATGACCACGATCCTACTATCCAGAACCTGTGGGACAGAAAGCCACTACCCCATCCGTCATATACTGTATGTACGTTGCATGCCCACCTACCTGTTCCTGACAGGTGGGTAATCTCCAAAGACGAGCCGATACATCTCAATAGTTGGAGAAAGACCGGAGGCGCCAAGAGAGCGACTTTCGACATTGGAATTTTTGAAGTACCAAACATGCTGTCAATGAACGGGCAGGACCCAGGAACTATTGGGTTTCGTCATTTCCTAGAGCTCCCGGTTGCTGATGCTGTGCGTTATCCCGAGGAACCAAAGATCAGATTGAATTACATACAACTTTCCTCGATTCCGGCCTCGGAGATTTATGAAATGATGGAGCATTACCATGAGGTTAATGGGGGCGCTGCATATGACCGGAAACAGCTGCTCCGTGATGGCCCATCTGCCTGGAAAAAGATTGGCGTGCGGGACATCAATCTACAATGCTTAGTGGAACGCCTGCGGACGTTAACAGACCTTCGTCGTGAGCTATTACACGGACAGAAAGCAACCACAATCCTTGATACCGAATCTACGCGGGATTTGTACAGCGGCCTATTCACCAAGTTCCTCTACCCCCCTTCCAAGCCTCTGCTCGCGGACTCCAGCTTGGCTTATTGCCTCAAATCTCAAATTAGGGCGTTGACAATGACCCTCGCCGCAAGGGGCGCGTGGGTGGATTTTAGTCTTCCCGAGTGGCGTCTATATGCAGGACAGTTGCTCTGGGAGGCCGGTCCTCATCCGGACGGTGATCTCTTGGACCCTTCTACGTGCTCGAAACCCTGGATGCATCCAACACTCGAGCGCAGGTGGTTCCTTGTTCAGATGCTCCTCGCCGCGGAACTACTTCTCCGTCTCGATGCGACTGTCCGCGTGGGCATTCTAGACAATTCCAAGGAGTTGCAAATCACCGCCAAAGACATAGATGATTTCGAGAAGCTACGGAGCGGGAAGGTAGACTGGGACTTGGTGGTGGTACGACGCTTTATGGATACATTCGACATCGGCTACAAGGCGGACGAGCCTGACCAACCTGGCGTCGACCCCGTAGAACAAACGGCTCACTCGAGGGGTGAAAGGCATCATGAGAAGAATCCTCGCTCTTTCTTCGAAAACTTGCTCCATAGATCGTTGTCTGGCTCTGGCGCCGAGTCCACCGAGTCCGCCTGGAATTGCAACCTGGTCCCAACATATCTTGACCAGCAGCTCCAAGGGCTCCTTGTGTTTGGCCAAGAAATCGGCTGGCCAGGACTTGATGGACTCAGAGCGCGCCTGGAGTCTGCGATTGGGTTGGGTCAACTGAGTGAGGCAGTTGCTCATGCATATAACAAGCCCGTGTGCAATATGCTGCCCGCGAAAGCTGGTGCGGCTCTTAGTAAAGAGGAAATGCATACCAGAAGCCCATCCCGCCGGCGGATAGCCCTCCACTGCTCTCAAGATCAGACGGCGTCTGTGCAGCTTGGTGGTTGGATTACCCGGAGCTGGCTGTCCGGCTTTGTATTTCCCGGGGAGCAGATCAGCCACCTCCTGATGGCTACGATATTGGAGAATGACTCAGATGCTCTCGCTAAATTAGGGCCCATTGCAAACCTCTACGGTGGATTTGCGTACAATGGAACGACTTGGTGGAGCAAAGAGTGCGTTGTCGGCCGAGTCCTGGCCAGTTTGGAAGATACCAAGGAGTGCCTGGGATGGATAAGGAGTGCGGTCGTGCCCCAAGATGCCTGGACAGTTCAATCGCTGGACAATTCATGGTTCGAGGTTTCTGTTCAACCACCTCTGTCAATGCCTGGAAAGCCGCGTATCTGTCAGGGAAACAAACTCGCGTTTGAGTCGACACCACTTGGCCGTGGCGAACGAGTCAGCGGCGCATTCTCCCTACCATTGGACACCCCGTTGGAGAAAGACCCGAAGAAAATACGCTTCGAAACACTGACATTCTCTGGGAAAGACGGGCAGTCATTGGAAAACACGCCGCATCCCATTGCTGACAGGGCTATTATGACCTTTTCGATCGCTCCTGGGACTGACTCACCCTGGAAAGTCTCCATCCAACTGAGATACAACGTGCGGTTCATCACGTCTCACGAATGCCGCCCACCGGGCAACTTCATATCGTACCACTGCGCATACCCCACTGGGAGTGGCGCGTCGACGCCGTCCAGCAGTTCCAGTCCCCGACACCACCGTCTCCCAGGCCATCCTCTCCACAGTGGGTACAGATATAAACACATCTCGCTAGACTCCCTCCCAGAGCACTGTGCTCCCGACGACGCTTTCCTCGAAGAAAGCCCCCGCAGCAATTATCACAGCAACCATCATAAGAAGCACGAAGTGCTCATTGTCGACGCGCGCGGCGGCCACGAAAGGGAAACCTTCGCCCGGGCGTGGTGCGCTTCAATTGGATATAATGCTCTCATTGGCCGAGTCGGACGGACATGTCTAGCGTGCTGTATCAGAGAAGCCAGGGCCATTGACGTGAAAGTCGTCCTGCGCGTGGATGGCGGTGTCAACCGGTCTTTGTCTGGTCAAACGCTGCCTGGTTTGAAGGAGATCTAATAGCGATGTCAGCGAGTTTAATATGGTAGTTTGGACTAGTATAGAGTGAGTGGCGGAGGGTACTGTTCGAGTTATATATATGGGTATTATTCCGTATAATAAAAGGATTCGTTTTTTCTACCAAGGATTGATCTGGTATCAAGTCTGCCGTGAAACATGCTTTACCAGGGAACCTCGAGAGAAGGAAAATGTAAAACAGTCAAATAAGGAATATAAAGAGTCCGAAGCAGACATCAAGTTAGCAGATTACTTATTACTCCATGCGATCTAACAAGCGATGTATACGGAGTGAACTAAGCTATCCTGTTTCTATGTACTATACTACCATATTCCAACCCCATATTAACCCAATATACTACATACTAGTAGTACACACTACGAAAGCCCTCAAATATCCAACCAAGAAAAAGAAAAAAAAAGAAAAAAAAAAACCTCGGCTACTAAAAAACCACCCACGACCCGACCCTAACCCCAACACAGCACCCAACACCCATTCAGACCTAGTCGCAATCCTAGTCCCAGTCTACGAATCCTTCGTCGTTTCACCACCGGCCGGGCACTTGCCTCGATCTGGATATGCTCTGCGTTGTACAATGTCTACTACTCCGTATCCAGGCTAGATGGTAGTTGGTGGGGGGTTAGAGGTAGTCTTGAGTATTTTGAGTTTGGTGTGAAGGTGAAGGTGCCTTACGTGGCTTTTGCTTTTGGGACTAAGGACTCTAGGTACCTACTTAGTGACCTATGTACTTGGTTTTGTGGCGAGGTAGGAGGGGGGGGTTAAGTTGGCGTTAGCCTGTTGGGGTTACTGGTGGTTTCTTCAGGCTTGCTTGGGTTGCGTGCTTTTTCTTAGGTTGGGTTTTTGGGGGGTGGCGGATGATTAAGGTGTGGGTTAGTTTGGGCTAGGTTTGTTTGGTTTTAGGGTTGGGTTTAGTGGCTCTGTGGTTGTTGGTGGAGGAGGAGGTGTATAGGTGGATTTGGATGGTTGGTTCTGGGTTCTGTGGTATGTGGTATGTGGTAGGTGGATGTTTGGGTTTTCTTTGCTGTTGAGAACTCTGTGGTGACTGGTAACGGTTTGCGTATGTATATGTATCTTTGTAGATGGCGTTCTTGATATGTCGTGTAAGGAATGAGGTGGCGGTGGTTTGTCTGGTTGAAGTATAGTGTATCTGGGGGTGTTAGTTTCAGCAATGTGAATGGTCTGGCGTGGTGCTTGTGTTAGTAGGACTAACTTCTAGTTGGAAAGGGGAGTGTTAGTGTACACTGTCAGTTGTAGCTCTGGTTGTATACTGTCGTGCAGATATTGTAAGTCCCACGGTGTTGACACAGAGTCATTGTCTGGTATAACAAATGTATCCAGTTTTTGGACTGATACTTGCTCAAGGTTCCGTATCCGTGATATAGTTAAACATCTACCTTGATAATTGGAACAGGAGACGAGTCCGTCTTCAGAAAGTGATCGAGAGAATATACACAGTGCTCTCCCCTCCTTGGACCAGCCCTAGATAAATGTTAATGGCACCCACAGCTGACAAAGTCTAGAATATAAGTAAACCCAGCTTACCTCCATTGTTTGTTGCTGATGGCAGCTGTCTAGAACCATATGTCTTACGTCCAAGTATGCCTTAGAATAAGTGGATCCTGGCGCTCTGCACGAATGGAGATGCCTAGTCAGGCAGACAGATTCGGCAGTCCCACAACACGCACGAACAACAAAATTTGTAAGAATTGGGGGCTATCCAGGTTCTGATCCAAGGTGTAGTTGTTCGTTTGTAGGTCCGGGGAGGGATGTGCTTCCATATCCACATTGTACGTTGTATGTACACGATGTTTCTCAAGACATCACTCGTCTGGACCACCCGAATGGTCTGAGTAAGACCATGTAGACCTTCTCATCGTCTGTCTAGATTCATGAACATAATCTTAAAAGCACCACAACTATACCGTAGACCGTCGCTGAGCTGCAATTAGTAACAACTTAGTCACAGACAGCAGCCGGTCCGTGACCAAAACAGGTATATACCGAAATAGACCAAGACTCGACGCTCTAATAAAAATAACCAGTATTAACCTCACCGACTCGGCAATCCGCCAGGGACCTGAGCAGGCGTGCTGGAAACGGCCCCTCCGAGTGGAGACCTCACCGAAGCTCTAAATCTGAACAATATGCGATGGAATTAAGCTGGCACTAGAGTCGCGCCGCTCTCGATTTGACCACAGGGTGCAAGACATCAGGTCCCTGAGGCGGGTAGTGCCGCTTGCTGCGTGCCTGTTCCGGCATAGTGATTATGGGGGGTGTTGGTGTTGCTAGATGTCTAGATCGCGGACCTGAGACACGCACCCACGATGCGGGTCATATATCCGCTGGTGGGAGTAGGTACGGTACTTGGTCGATAAGGGGGGGGGGGGAGAAGGGTTACGGCGTTTTTCTGTGCTGAAGATTGATATTCAGTTGGCCAATTAGATTGCCAGAGTTAATGGAACAGTCGCTTGGAGATGCAGGTACATCCATTGGTTGTTCAGGTGAAATTAAGACAGACATGAAGGAATCGCCGCGCCAAGCGCCCCCCCGGCGGAATTACTCTGAGTACACCTCAGCGGCGCCGAAGCTGCTTTACCGTGAACGGCAGAACGTCCGTTTCGCGCTGGATTTGGCCCGGATATCGTCCCTAATGGGAAACGCAATGCATGCGTGGAAAACTCCTCCAGTACACCACCGATGGTGACCAAGGAACGGGGGTTCGTAGGAACGAGACGATCCATTGCCGATCGACATTCCATGACAAGCATGTGCACAGCGTCCAGAAGGACCCTAGAAGCCTCAGGGGAAATACTCAACCATGGAAATTGCGCTGTTGGCATCACACTATGTCAAGGGTCTAGGCTGAATCGGTCGTTAGGTCCGGGCACGAAAAGATGGGATTTTCTTGTTGGCCTTTTTGCTCGAGGGATCAGGTATTAAGTTACAGTTGGATCCGTGGCACTCAGAAGTACCGTACTTATTAAACTACTGAGGAAAGGAAGTGTGGTTGGTTTCGGTATCAACGGAGAACGCCGTATATTAGTTCGGCTTAGGGTTCGTGGAGTTGGATCGGACTAAAATTCCTGCCCTTGAGGCAACCCCCCCGAGGCCACCAATCGTGGGCGGATGGGAAGATGTATCCTCGGAGAATTTCTGGAGATGCGAATACTTTTTAGTCCCTGCAGCAAGAAAGTGGAGGGAGTCTTACCGAGGATTGAAACGGAGGGTACCCATGTGTCAGGAAAGTAGGGGTTCTATCTATAGCAACCCATCTCCATACTTTAAATTACTGCTTGCATGGCCCAGTCGATATCCGGAACCCTACAGATACATCGTACTTAGATTACTCCGGACACAGAATCTGGCAGTTGCAATAGTGCAGAGTCGTATCCAATGAGACAAACAAGCTCATCGATATATTAACCCCCGTGTGTTTCATCTTGGGGTGGGCGTTAGCAGATGGAACTGCGATAGATTACTGATAGATTAATTTTCGGCGATCTCGTCAACGTCGCTTACGTATATCGCGCGATCCCACTGCACAGACGGACCAAACGAGCAATTTTCACGCTGGGCTATAGCAGTTCCTGCTATCAAGGCTGTCTGGATCAGCCACAATTTCAGGAGGGATTTTTGGTTCGATTGGATTGGTTTGGATTCGCCATTTTGATTGATTTAGTTTTATTTTTATTTTTTTCTGCTCACATCGTTTCCCAACTGGTCCTTCCCTCCGCAATACGAGGCGAGACAGAGAAATGCAGTAACCACAAACAAATCACGTCGAAAAAGAAAGCAAGGGGGAACCGATTCTATTCGATTGACACTCGGAGATGATACTCTGTCGGTATAAAGCCTGCTTTAGCCTCTGGATACGTAGAATCGACCAAGACCAAACACAAACTCGGATGGCATCATCCTCATCGTCGACCAACGTCATCTCTCGAATATCGTGAACTCAAGCGGTTCCTTTCCCAATCAGGAGAACGCTCCAGGAACAACGACCTGACTAAGTATAGCCGCTAAAACCAACTCCATGCCCGACGTCTCCTCACATAGGCTCGGGTTTCGCTTGCAGGAAATGAACAAAAGTAAAAGAAAAAAAACACGCCAGTTTCATCGGTTGACTGCCGAATGCGTTAAGTGGTCGGACATTGGATGGAGACTAAATTAGACCCGAGTCTAATCTCTGGTTCGCCCTCACGTACTTACGTAGCAGGGCGGATGGCCGCGGACACTCTCCGTGGACCCTGAGATTAAGCAATGCTTGAGCTTCGCCCATCGGGTGCTTGGCCGGCAGCTCCTGACTCTGTTCTCCATATCAATGGGGGCCCGGAGGTGTGCGAGATTGAGGGTTCTTAGCTAGTCGTAACTCGCGATCGCGAATCAGGAAAGAATCCTGATAATGCTGGGGAATAATCACGCATACTTGCGTACGTCCTGTCAGAGATTGACTTCCATGACGGAGGTGATGGGTACGGTGGCATTGATAATGTAACGGTGAGGGAGAAACCGATATCTTCGTTGGATATACCTCCTCGAAAGAGGGGACTAGAGTTGCATGGTTACTCTTCTTAATATCGGTGGCGGCGTAAGTCTGTGCTGCGACGGTGCGCTGTGTGTCATGATATTAGTTATCAATCAATTGGTCTGGTACTTCAGCCATAGGGCAACGGCGGGTTTCCTGGACCGTGAGGCTTTTTATATTTGCTATTATTATATCCTACGGTGCACATCATGGTGGTTCAACGATACACAGTATATATAGAACGTGTATATTAACAGTGGTGTTAATCCATTTCTGAATTTATTTATTTATTTTTTTATTATTATTTGCTTTTCTTTGTAAAAGTCCCTTACAGAAGAGCGTACTAGGCCAAGAATCGCCAGACGCCCTAAGATGCAGATATGATCCTTAATTAAACCTTGACCGGCCCACCCCTTTCTGACAGATCTGTACTCCAGAGAAAGAAAAAAGTTGGCA